TGTTAGTGAATATAATAGATTTGACTGGAATTCAAACTCGGCTCTCCAATTCCTCAATCCGAGCCACTATCCATTATTACAAATGGTAATTGTTACCATAAAAATAAATCCATGTAATGACAGAAAGGAGTTTACTGATTATATTTTTTATATTACTTTATGAAGTTAAGATTATTTCTTGAAAAATTCAGTTTTGTAGAGAAATATTTAGTAAGACTGAAGTGATTCATTGATATTTAAACATTTCAGGTTTTTGTCTTGGTGTTTAGTCTTAACTCAGCATTAATACAGTTTAATAATTTTCCTTAGCCTAGTTCAGTTACGTGCCATACACACTGGTATCTTTTGATACATGACTGACGAGGCAGATTTTTTTTTTCCGCCGTAGGTTGCCATTTCTTTCTATGGTAGACCAGTTACCATCCAAGGCTATAGAACCCGGAAGAGGATTCATACCTTTCCTAAGGGTATTAGCACATAAGTGAATGTAATGGATTCGACTGGAATTCAAACTCAGTTCTCACTTTAACTAAACTCAAAAGCTTTTCATGAAATCATAAACATTGTTTGATTTACAAATGACATGTTTACTATCAGAAAGTTATTTTGACCTTAATTTTAAATTCTGTTAAAGAGGCTTGTAATGAACTTCACTATCAAGAAAAATGTTCAGACATTTTTGTCACTGATCCAAAATTGGAAGTATTTGGGATCAAAATATTTTGAACTTTGTTTCCACCCTAATCCTGTCTTCACAACATTTCTAGGTTTTTCAGCAGGTGCTTTCAAGTTTTAATTTGATTTTATTTTTTTAATGCTTGTGATGATCTTGTTTCAAAGCTGGACTCATTTACTTTGGAATTAGAATTTAGTAACTGCTTGTTTTATTATGTAGGCACCCCCACTTCATTCCACATCTATTACTACCACCACCACCACCACAATCCAAGCTCTGCCTTCTCCTCCCTCTATTAACAAAATGATCATCGGATGTGTTCTTTTTGTTATCTCCTTAAAGTCTACTCATCTGCTCTGAATTGTTCTAAACAGTTCTGTTTCTGAAGCGTTACTATTGTGTAACTCTATTTAATACTACACCCCGGGGGTGGAGAGGGGGAACCAAGCTTATTCTATTGTGGGACACTAATTACAATAACTGGCTGATAGACAATGTTGGCAGATGGCACACTAGATTTACTTTCAGGGTAGAATCAGTAAAAGAGAAAAAAGAATTTTTTTATTTTTTTTTTTTAATTGAAGGATAAAATTTTATTTTAATTATTCACCTTTCTACTGATCTCATTATTTTTAATTTTATATGAAATAAAATGACAACTTATGTTATTTGTTGCTACTAATATTGAAATTAATGTTGTAAATATTTTATTACTGTCTTTTGGCCTCACTGAAAATCAAACAGATAAAATTACTATACAGACATTTCAGTTCAAAGGCAAGAAGACATTGTTGAAAGTCTTTCTTTTTGTTTGAAAGACTAACAATGCAACAAAGATTAATTTCCTTTGATGAGAAAGATTTTAATTTTGACACTTACCATTTCTTTACAACTGTTGGCTATAAATTTAATTTTTTTCTTTTTAATATATTTATTTGCTCAGAACTGCACCTTTGATCCTAACCTTAACCACTGCTACAATGATCTGTAAGAATGTTCAATCATTTAACTTATTTAATATAAATATTAAACTGATGTTTGCTTGAACTGAACCTTGCAAAAGGTCAGAAACTAAATAGGACAAAATAAAAATTTACTAAAACAGTATAAATTTTTGCAAGTCTTGATTTGGTGAAAGTAAAATCATTAAATCAGAAAAGGTTTTAATCTGGAATTTCAGAGGCGATGAAAACAAAGTTACCATTTTCTGGATACCATGTGAAATTTAATTTGTGTTATTTGATCTAACATATGTGTGCTTGACCCACAAACAACAGTAGGTTATCTTAACAAAACTTACTAGCAACTTTCAACATCTGTACATAGTTTTTTTTTTTTTTTTTTTTTTTTTTTTTTTTAGGCGTGGGCAGTAGAGCTCTCTAATGATAGCATGTTGGTAGACAAGGAGTTTACCACATGTTTTTTTTATTTTTTTATTAAGAGGATTTATGTAACTGGTTAATTTACATATAAACCACACCTGAGGAAACACTCGTCAAAATTTATTCCATGGTCATTGGGAGAGACTAGTTTTTCACACATGTGCTTAGATATTAATATTATACTCAACCCTATAAGAGATGTGTTTTGGGTTTCCCATTGTGGTTTATTTAAAGGCGAAACATATCTTGGATTGTAAGAGTAATTCTGTTTTTCTTGCAACTTAACAATTTCTTTTGAGAATAAGAATGATTTTTTCTTGACATAAGTCAAATTATTTGACCCATAGTTTTGGGGAGGAGATGAGAGAGAGCCCTTTGTGCCACATCATGGCTGAGCCAAGTAAATATATTAGACACTTTAAGAAATATGTAAAACTCCTAATGATAACACTGAGCATTTTTTTTTATCAACATTGATATTTAGTTTTATCATTTGAATGCTAAACAAAGGCTGTATATAATAAGGCTGTATTTTTATGATGTCCATACCAAGAATGTCATAAATTTTCTTGCCTTGTGAATGAAAAAGAGTTTACACATTGCCTTGCATCTTGAATGGGTGGAGCCTGTGTTGGGTGTATCCAGTGAAAGTAATTATATATTAGCATTTGTGGATCAACAGAATAGTCTCTAAATATCTTGGTAAAGCATTTTATATAACTTCTCTTTTTCACATATACAATATGGACATAGGGATCAATTCTGCATGGAGACTGTCAGCTTCATTCCTCAATGCAATCTTCACATCAAATACTATGCTACTACTCTTTTAGCAGGTCACTGAGATTAATGAGGGTGGGGGAGGGAGATGAACTGGCCCCACCCAGCTCTAACTGATCTACAACCACATCATAAACAAAAAGACTACAATCTTATATTCTAATAAACTTTATTTCAAATATCAAAACTTAGAACCAAAGCAAAATATATGAAAAATGTAGAAAACAAATAAAATAATTATATAGATAAGCATTTTAGAAGTCATGGCCATAAATAAACCTTGCCTATTTCCATGTACACTTCCTCCAACCACTCTATCAGCATAAATAAACCATCTAAAGGTCATGACTATAAATAACGCTAAGCATTAGACCTAAACAAAAGAAAGTGATAAGGATTAGTTTCCTCTTATCCCAGTAATATTTTATATATGGTGGACTCTCCCATCATATTTGACGTATGAGGGTCAAGTAGCTCAGTTCCTAGGAACTGACAGCCAGACACCAGTACATATGATTTGATTATAGTGGTGAAGGCTTTGTGCAGAACCAACCACACTTTTCAAAGGACTGATTACAGAAACCTGGTGCACTACATGCCACAAGGTCTCCAAACGACCCTCCACAGGTTTTGAACTCAGAGTTGTCTTTCTCCTAGACCAGTTGCCATCCAAGGCTATTTACCCATAGCTGGAAGGAGAAGAAGAGGATTAATACCCTTCCCAAGGGTATTAGCACATAAGTGAATGTAATGAATTTGACTGGAATTCGAACTTGGCTCTCGAATTCCTCAATCCAAGCCACTATCTACTACTCCACTGTGCCTCCATTTTATACATATACAGGCCACTAAACAAGTAGTAACATTTGGTCTGAGGGTTGTATTGAGACATGTAACTGACAGGAATCAACACTGCATGGTAACTGTAAACACCTATAAACACTCCATTGCGCACTCTTCCCACACGCACACACACACATATATATATATATATATATATATATATATATATATACTAGCAGCGTTGCCCGTGCTTGATTCAAAAATTGTACGACTCATACAGCAATCGCTATCACTTGACTTAAAATATTTTTGCCCTTCCTTGCTTTTAAAGGAGTGCCCTTTGCCATGCTGATGTTTCTACATGCCTTACTTCTTGCCTATCTCACACTGCAAATTTTTCTAATCTCTATACTAAACGTTAAATCTATTACAAAAAAAGAACTAAACAAAATGAACACAAAACAATCAGCTTTAAAAAAGAACTCGTAACTGGAAAAATCGAATGACAAAAGAATGTTAACAACAAATACTTTTTCACACCCAACCCAGTTCTGCAGAATCAGAATCAACGTTGAGTTTAAATGTTTAATGAGCCAATTGAAGTAAAGTGCCATGCAGATTTAAATTTTTCCCACTTGTGACGAATGCAGCTATCGAATTTTTTGCATGCTAGTTAATATTTGTGTCAGTCACCTGTTGGTTCTCACACTGGCCAATAGAATCTTACTGCCTATTCGTGGCAGCCAGCTATTGGCTCTCACTCTGGCCAGTAGAAAATGTCCAGAAACTACAGGAAAACTGCCGTAGAAGCATGAAAAACTTGATTATTTCCACTATTGATGGGAGTTGGGAAATGTAAAGTCAGTCTTGGCCTTCCCACTAACTTGGAGCATGTGCATATAAATTTTGGTGCAAATCCGTCAAAAATTGCGGCCGTGCATTCGTTAGACACACACACACACACACATATCCTGCCTTATATATATATATATATATATATATATATATATATATATATATATATAGTAAATTTTAAACATATATAATTTGCTCAATCCCTGACATTCAGCACTCTTGATAAATGTGGCAATGTTTTTTTTTATTGATTTATTCGTTTTCTACAGCTTTTCAACACTTTGAAGGTTATTTAAAGCCAGAAAATATTTCTAGATTGTAAAAAATTTGGGTGGAGAGATAATAATGGTTTAATGATACAAGTCTTACTAATTAACCCATAACTGGGGAAAAAGAGGTAGATTCATACCTTTGCCAAGGGTATTTGTGCATAAGTGAATATAACAAATCCAACAGGAATTGGACCTTTGTTCTCCGATTTCCAACTGCGAGCCACTATCCATTACACCATCTGCACATCCAAGCTTGCTGCATCTGGTATACCCAAAATGTCACCCATCAAGGTACTGACCAAGCTCAGCATTGCTTAAATTTGGTGATCGTATGGAAACCAGTGTTTCAATGTGATGTGGCTGTAAATTTTGGTAAATTTTAAACAGTATAAATTTATATATGTTCGTACACACCTCCCTGGATTTTGAACATAAGTAGATTCACCTATTGTTACCTGTTTAGATATCTGGTTCCTTCTAAAATCTACTTCAATTTTATACTCCTAACATCTCCACCTGAACTCTGAAATTTTATTTGCTAATTAAATCTTTGTGTAGAATTAGTTGACTATCCTGTTATTTTGCCCTTTCTTATACAACTCTACCTTGATTGGGCCTTGTATTGGGTGAACATTAGTAAAAAAAATAAAAATTATATTATTACTGAGCAACTTATTTTTAACTTATTATTTCAGGCGGTAATTTTTTTCTCAAAGACATTGATGCCTTATCGCTTAACTTATCCCTTAAGGTTTTGTTGGTATAACAGTTGTTACTTCCAGTCCTTTCACTTTAAGAGAGAATGACATTTTCCCTTTTTTCCAGGCAGGACATTAGCAATTATGCTGCACTCTGTCTGCGTGGTCTCTACATTAAAGACTTTCTCTTGGTAACACAGCCCATCTGCTTAGAGATTTGTCCTGCAGTTGTTAGATGTTCTTATTCCCAGAATTTGGTACTTGTTCACTAATTTAAATCTCTTTCCTTTTGATGTAGATTACACCAATCCTGAAATATCAGAGAGAATATAGCTTAATAACAATATTGAAATTCCTCTTTGATTTAAAGAGAATTTCTTGGAATGACTGTTTATATAATTAAAAAGAACTCTATTCAAAATTTTTATAACTACTTTGAAATACATGCCAACTTCAGAACATTTTTGTGTGTGGTGGAAGGAACAATTGAAATCCTAACAACATCCATCAACTTTTTTCTTCTCTAATCAGATCATTAGATACTGACATGCTGGCAGTGGATGTAACAGTTTTTTGTTGTTTATATTTGGGTATAAATTATGAGATCATGGTTTATTCAAATGTCCATTTGTTCAATGTTCTGTTAGCTATTGTAGCATACTCATGTCAAAGCATTTTGTCCAAATACCTGCTAATGGAACAAAGGACAGGGAGAAATAGATTCATGCCTTTCTGAAGGTTATTATTAGTGTGAATTAAATAGCCGATGCCAATAACTATTACCTTCACCTATTAATTAAATATGAATTACATCAAATTGTGTGCGTGTGAATGCACATCAAATGCATTTTATAACATCTGCAGCTGACTTTGATGGTATTCACATTTTTACTGAATTTGTAATTTTTATTGGTAACTGGATGGTTAGGAGGCATGGTGGAGTAATGGATAGTAGCTTGGATTGAGAAATCAGAGAGCCAAGTTTGAATTCCAGTCGAATCCATTACATTCATTTTGCATCTTAATACTCTTGGGAAATGTATGAATCCTCTTCTACCCCCCCCACCCCCCCACCCCAGTTATGAGTAAATAGCAGGACGGACCAGGTCTTATAGCCTTAGATGGCAACTGATCTACCGCAGGAAAAAATGGCAACCTACAGCAGGAAAAAATCTGCCTCGTCAGTCATGTAAGGAAAGCATGTATTACGCATGGCACATAACTGACTGAACTTCATGGTTGATTTCAAATAACATGACCTGAACTATTTTTTTATTTATTTTTATACTGGCATTGACTATTTTTTGCTAAAATAATGAGTATTCTCCTGATATTACCAGTACTAATTGATTAATTTAATAATGATTAATTATAAGTAAAATAAAATCAGACAGAAGACTTGGAAAAAAAATGAACAGATGGCGGGTATGCCTTTCTTTTTTTTTCTTTTTTTTCCTACTATGAATTATCCTGAAAAATAGAGTAACTAAACACTTTGTCCCCAGGTAGAAGCTAGAAATTAAAAATGTGGGTAATAGACTCAAATAATCATTGAACTAGTCATAATCTTTTTAATTTTTTATTTGTTGTTGTTATTATTTCTTCTAATACTACTACTACAAAGAAAAATAAAATGGCAACAAAACAAAAAACATAAATAAATAAAAAATCCTTTCAGAAATTAAATTGGAAAAGACAGAAAAACATTGATATTTTATCTTTTGTCTTTCTTGACTTTTCTTTTAATTTTTTTTTTTTTTTTTTTTTTTTTTTTTTTTTTCTCAAAGTTGGGGGTATATTTCTCTTTCAAAAGATTTCTGAGTCATTATACAGTGACCTTCACATCCACTCCATGGAAATGTTTTAAATAGCTAAACTTTAATAAGCAACCTTTGAATAGCAAACTAAATTGAAACTATGTCACTAATTTGTTATAATTCCTTTAGTCACTATCAAAATGAAAATTCAGATCAATGACTAATCTGCCTGACCTCAAGGAGAGGATTGGAAATTTAATGAAATATACCCCCAACTCTGGAAAAGAATTACTTGCAAAACTTTGAAAATGTGATACCTAAGGTTTAAAATGATTTTTTTTTTTTTTTAAATGAAAAGTCTTTCTTGAAGCTTTTATTTTAGTTTCAATTTCAAGCTAATAGATTAAATTTAATATTACTAATAATTAAAATACTTTGCTCTATTTCAAAACTGGTCTAAATTCACTGGAAGGATTTTTTTCTTTTTGCAAAAATAGTAGTCTTTCATTGCAATGTAATTCTCTTTATTAAAAAATCTTCAAAAAATAAAATATGCTTCTCCCAAATTTTATTTGAGGAATATTAGCTGATTTAAAATATAATTAATCTGATTTGAAACATATTATTTACTTTAAGTTTAAAATATTGCAGAAATGCATTTTTTAACACAGTGGTAGCTGTTTGTGTAAGGTGTTGACAAATTTGACAGCTTGATGTTTATCTAATGTTGTTCTATGGAGGCTTTAGTCATAAAAAATAACTGAATATACCATGAGCGCCTTTTATATATAATTTTTTATTACTCAGCAATCTTTAAAATTTAAGAAAATATTCTCTATATTCTAATGTTTTATTAATTTTTAGATATGTTCTGGCTTTAAATTTATTATAGTTATCGCTCTTATTTTCTGATAATGTTGTGTATGAACAACCATATCTACAAAATTTGTCATATTTATACACATACAAAGAAAATTCAAATACTTTTTAAAATATTGATGTTTGATGATTTGCACTAAGTTTTTCCATTTATGATTAGTAAATATAGTTTACACTTAATATCTAAAAGGCAGAAATTAATACAGAATTTTAAGATTTAAAACTTTTTGCAATTATTGTAATTAAAATTTTAAAAAATGAAAACAATTCTTGTAAAAATTCCTTATTCATTGAAAAAAAATTTCCTTAAAACTTAATATATCTTATTTATAAGAGCAATTAAAAGCTTTTCTAATTAAATATTGTCATAGTTCTATTGTATTTTTTATTTTACAATTCAGAGCAGATTTTCAGTAAATCGTGTTTCTGTTTGACAAGAACAAATTAATGATTTAAATTCTCCAAAGAGTCCTGCATTTAATTAATATAAATATGAACAGAGTAGAATTTTAATTTCTCAAAATTTCATAAAATTAAGTTAGTGGGGATAACAGAAGTAAAAAAAAAAAAAAATTTCATTCATTTGTAAATAAGTCCTGAAAATTTAATTAATATCTGACAATTATTTGAGTTTTAAAAGAATTTCCAAAACAATGTGTTTTTTACTGTAGAAAAGACACGGAATTTCCCACACTAATCTTCTGGTTCGCCCGCTGATGCAAGAAAAACAAGATTTTTAACCAAAATTTCAAACATGAAAGAAAGGATTTAAAAAATTTAATAAAAATAATACTTTGATCTTTCCTCTTAATAAACATTTTGATGATAAAACTGTTTTTTACCAAGTTTGGTGCATTTTTCATCATGGTATGATCTTTTTTTTTTTTTTTTTTTTTTAGCAAATTAAATTCATTGGTAAATGAGATTATCATAATTATTTTTATTTAATTTTTTTTTTTTTTTTTTTTTAAATAAAAGTTTTCAGTGCTAAACAAGTATAGATTGAAATGTATTTTTCATAAATATTATTTTCTAAGGTAAAGAAAAAAATGTAATTTTACTTTCTCAATTATAGATATTTAATAAACTAACTCAATGTAGCTCAAAGCCAATTTGAACAATAGTAAAACTGACACAACACAATCATACCTCTTTGTTAATCTTTTAAAATCAGCATGTCTTAGCGCAAATATTTCTCAGTTTAAGAAATATTCAATTACCCCAGCCACTACATAAATTCTCTCCACTCTGTTTTATGATTGGGACAAATCATCTATGAAATTTTAGGTCAATGGTTGATATCAAAATACTTTTTCAGCTGTATCATTATACAGTAATATAAAAAATATTACAAACTAATAATTTGTGTCATTAACATTCCAATGTTTGCATGAACAATTTATTCTTTGTGTTGGTGAATGGACTCAATTGGTTAGTTTATATATATTCTATTTTCTGCTCAATATCATGTTCCATTAAAAAAAAAAAAGACCCTGTCTATAGTTACATAGTTCTCCATCTGACTAATGTTGTAGAATGGATCAATTGAAACATTGTGATAAATTGATTTTGTATTACTGATGTTGTCTGAATAAATCTTAGAAACTTATAGAATTCCCAGATAAAACTTATTGTTTTTATGTTTATTCTACAATATAAAATGTATTTATTTTTCTTAAGAAATTTACCTTCAGAGAATCATTTTTCTGTAGGGGCCTTAAGCTTTGCTGTTTTTGTCAATGGAATTGTCTATAACTATATAATTGCCTATAATTATAATTGTCATAACAATTTTCTTTCATTTGGTTCTCATTACAAGTAAGTGTTAAGAGTTTTCACCAGTTTTAATTCCAACAAGTTCTCCCTAATGATTTCACTGATTTTTATTCAATTAGTAGACACATATATATATATATATATATATATATATATATATATATATATATATACCTTTCAAAGAAATGTGATACCCAAGGTTTAAAATGAATTTTTAAAAATGAAAAATCTTTCTTGAAGTTTTTATTTTAGT